ACTCTTTCTTAACAGTGAGATATCACTGAGATATTACTTCAGCTATTCTCACTTATGAAATAAGAGAAGAGTATTCACTTATTATCTATATAAAATAGCTAGATACTGACTTCTTATTAAAGAAGTCAGTGATTTGTTTTTCTTCTACTGAAATATATATAAGAGTTACTATATTTCTTATATAATCTTCTTAGTATACTAAGTATTATATCTATAATATTCTTGTAATAACTCTGTAGTCTATAAGCTCACTATTTAAGTAAGATAGTTAAGCTTACTTATACAGCTTCTTAAATAACTATCTTTATATAATACTACTGACTAGTCACTGCTTTAATTCTAATATATTATAAATTCTTATAATCTATAATTATCTTAAATTCAGAGATACTTCAGAGTTCAGAATTTCATTCTTTTAAATAGTATATAATTATAAGAAGTTTCTTATTATAGATCTTATAATTATATTTAACAGAACTTAGTTTCTTAAATATAAAAATATATAATTATAAAATATCTTTATTATTATATTATAATATCACTTCTTCTATTATATAGTCAGAGAAATCAGTCTTAATAACTATCTTATAATTAAAATTAAATATTATTAGTAGAGAGATATTAATAAACATCTTCTTTATCTATATAAATACAGCTTCAGTGTTCACTGATTATTAAAATACTAAGTCTTTCTTAGTAAAATCTGTAAGTGATCTTATAATATCTGAGAAGTTTTATATAAATCACTGATAGAAGTTAGTAAATTCAATGAAGCTTTATACATCTTTCACAGTATATGAAGCTTTTTATTCAAGAATAACAGAGATCTTCTCAGAATTTATTCAAATTTCCTTACCAGCTTCTATAATGAAACCTAAGTATTTAGTACTCTTAACTTTGAAATCACACTTGTTAATATCAATTGATAGTTCTGCTTCTTGTAGTCATTGTAATACTAACATTACTCGGAGCCACTGTGGCATCACGTCTATGCTCGCGTTTGAGAGTTTCATATTATCATTAGACATGATTATATCAATTGTCAGATGTGTAATTATATGAATATCTCATACATCTGAGTGTCAGAACTAGACTAGCCGCCAGAATCATGAATTTCATATTTGATCTCATTTAATCTGATCTCATACATTTCTTGATGTGAATCCCACTGGGACTGGCTATCAAAAAAACATGTAAAGTGACTATATATCAGATCTTAAAATGAAATCATGACTTGAAAAAAATGAGAAAGTGATCTCATTTGATCTCATTTAGTCTCATTCTTGATATAAAGTTACTATTTTTAGACATTTTAAGGTTTTTTTTAGACTATTTTTAATTTTTTAAAAAGTAACACTTTTTGATAATACTCAAATGAGATTTAAAGTCATTTAAAGCAATAAAAATAATTTAAATTGAGAAGTGAAAATCATGATCTCATTTGAAAAATGTGACAAGAGTAGACAGTAAGTCTCACTGAAACAGTATGAGACCACTATCTAATGTTAAAACTGTGTAATGGGATCAGTTGAATTGGTAATGAGACTATCAAAAAATCTGATCCTGGTTTCAGACACAGTCACATGATCAGTCTAGTCAGAACTCTCAGGTCTTTCACTGACATTGTCTTGTAAAATCTTACTCTCTTTATAAGATCTTGTTACAGGGTCAGAGTGACTGGTGAGTAAGCTTCTATCTGAGAACTCAGTGTCTGCTTAACTGTTTAACTGTTTCTCTATTTCTTATGCATTGTTACATGTTCGGATATCTCTTGATGAATAATCATTCCTAATAAGGAGACGATGAATGTTTTTATAGTGTAAGAGGCCTATGCCGAATAGATCGGTATAATATTGATAGGTCTTATATAACAAAGATAAAAATGTTAGAGAAGGAAAGAAAGAGAAAGTGTGGAAATCGGCAATCAGAGTGGATATTTATACGCGTACGTGGTGGCGTACGCGGTGGGGCTTTCGGGGCGGAAGAATCTATACGCGTTCGTAGCGGCCGAGTATCGGCGATCGAGAATGGCCGAGAATCGGAGCGTACGCGTTCGAGAATGGAGCGGTTGGAATCTGTGAAGTGTAACGGAATAGTCTATATGATTGATCGGGCGCAGCCCGCCACAGTAAACACTTATTCTTACACAGACTTAAGAGACTGCTGTTAATTACATAAAGTATTGATATATCTAGAATGACAGAGAGAGTTCAGACTCATTTATCACAGAATCTGTGACTGTAAAAGAATCTGATTTCACTGTATATATTCATTTACAGTTCTACACAGTGTAAAGAGATAATCAGTGATAGAAAAGATATAATGAGAGAACTCAGAGAAGATTATAATATCTGAGTTCTCTGAGTGTAGCATTGAAGACAGATAGCTGTAGAAGTAGTAGAACACTGTAAAGAAATGAATTAATCAAGAGACTGATTTTATAAGCAGTGAACACAGGCTTTTGACACATTATTCATTCTTGAGAATCTATGAGAGGTGATTAATCAGATGCATTATCTATTCAAGGATCTGTACAGAGTAGATGGTATGATAGTGCAATATCACAGGATTGTGCTTCACTTAATTCTACACCAATCAGTGGGCTGTATTCGCGCCAAGAACCCCAAAAAGGAAATTCTCCACTTTTAATGACCAGGGTTTTCATCATATATTTGCTTCGCTTCGCTCCGCAAATCATAACATGCAAACATTCAAAATACGCGAGAAGGAAAAAAAATGGATGAGTGGACGAGAAAGAGAATACCCTTGAGAATTTTTACATGCTCTTGGACAATTTCCAAAACATTTTACCCGATACTTACTCACACCTTTACCTCTCCCCTTAACTCCACTGGATCCGGAAATACGAAATGCTTTAATTCAAGTCCTCCTTATTTCACCTTCTCATCCAAGTTTGTCATCTAACTCCCCACTCACACACATGGAAACATAAGTTGCTCTCACCTTTTCATACCATAAAATCTTAGGCCTCGCTCCTTGCTGCGCCCGTCTCAAAGTCTCCATCTCCATTGTTCCTTGAGAGGTCAAATTAAGGGAGAAAAAAGAGAAAGAAAAAGAGAATCAAACAGAAATTTGTGAATATCGACTCTGAGAGTGAGTTTCATGTATTAGAAACTGACATTCGTTCGTACTATTCGAGAACCTATTGACCCATGATACGCCATACAGGGACAGGTTGAAGGAAAAATGAAATATCCGGGTAGGTAACGTTATGTTATCTTTGTCCTGCATATTGTTAATTCTCTAAATAGGTTTCTATGCAACCGTCTCTTCATTCAATATGGGTTAACCTTGAAAGATCGAAGCCAAAAACTGCATCATTTAAGGATGAATTCCGGACATTTGATTTAGGTACATGTGCCTACCCTTGAGGTTCTCATCAACCAGAGGAACCTAATTGCTGTCACAGGTTGCTCCTTCGGCTCTATTTATATTACCTCGCCATGTTCGTCAAAAAGGAATTCCTTTTGTTTTGAGCCCAGCCGCTGAGAAGGTGCATATCCCTGGTGCCCCAAGGCGATGACATGGGCTTTGAAAACTCGCTCCTCACAGTTGTGGATGCACGATGCCAAAACTGTCGAGGCACCGTACCCGTCCACTATACAGTCATGCTTTTCTTACTGTTGAAGGTTAATAACACCATAAAACAATGGTATTGGGTATGGGATGGCGAAGACGAGGAGCCCAATAGAAATCTTCCGATTTGGAATATCTTTTCCCTTAAGGTGCAACGGGTGGACGATTTATAGCGATCACTTTTTCGGGAGACAACCTTGAGCGGGATCACCTGGGCGGTGGCGATAAGATTCATGCTCTGCCCTGTTAACCATGACACTTGTCGACGCCGCAATAATTCCTACGTTGCGTACGGAGTACTGCTATCTTCAATAATAATGATAACAACTATGGATGACGCTAACATGAGCTCCCTATCAGATTTTTCCATATTTTGGTTTTATGCTAACATAAACCTTAATCCTCACCCCTAAGTGGTCCCAATTTTGGGCACGCATTCAGCTTTGACGGTCCAACGTCAACTGCAAGGGCCGATTCGCTCTAATTAGGAGCAGTAAGTTACCTCTGTGCGTGAAATGACCTGATCATCGTTCACTAAAAGAAATCTTTACTGTGTTCGATTCCAACCACCTAACTCACTAGGTGGATACATCACTGGTTCATACAGCATAGAGACGGCGGTACTCCTTCCTACGCTGAAAGCTGAAGGAGAGTGTCGCATGCTTATTAAGATGGCAAGGTTAAGAGTTCTCGCCATGCGGTAAACCACAGCCGGGATCGAAGCATTACCAAACAGCCGAGCCAGGCCGATCCCTTCCGCCCGGGACTCATTTCTTCCATTCCGTACTCGGGAGTGGGAAAGAGGTAAAGAAAGGACATGGTGGTGGAACAATCGATGGATTGTAAGAAGCTGATACAACGGCGTTGCGACTAACACGAGAAGGCCGTGCAGGTAACAGATAGAAAGGCGTTGCGACTATCTGCTAGCATTAAGGGCTCTACAAATTCTGTACCTTCAATATGTCCTTCGTGGGACTTTTGAAAGGATTTTCCAGAGAATAAATGTACCAACTAAGAATTGTCTCTTTGATATTATAATATGGAAAAAACTTTAATCGAGTGGAACCTGCATGAAGTGATACCCGAAGATAAAGGTGGTGTTGTCGCATCTTACATCACGGACGCCATTGGCAGATCCACCATCCGGCAGATCCACCATCCACTCCTCTCTCTCTTAATTACGCAGCGCCAGCAGTCTCCGATACTCCCCTAGTCTAATTCTTTCTAGTCGGCTGAAACCTACAATACAAGACCGAGAAGAAATTGCCCCAAAAGAATGGTACGGGAACCTGTCCAGATTCTACTCGAATTATCCTTCACGGAAATCGATCGCGATCACGTAACTTCCCCATCCATGGAAGGCAACCAGATAGGAACCTATCCTGAGATGCCCAGGTGTAACTCCGCCAGCTGCTAGAAGAGAGGTTTGTGCTGGTTGGGATGGATGGGATGGGATCAATCGATGGGTCTATCCCTAACCTAGACTGGTCTGATGCAAAGGTTGTTTTCCTGGCGGTTGCTTTGGGACGGGGAGGGGCGCGGAGGTGGCACAGTGTAAGGGATGTACAGTACATGTACCTCGGTAGTCCGTTATACTTCGTCGGGTAGGGTGGGGGGAATCAATAAGAATTCCCCTGAAAAGAACCCACCCCCGCAGGTATTTAACTTTTTCAACGGACCGCGCCCGCGACAGCCGCCCCACGTGATCTCCCCGCACTCCGGTGTAACCCACTACTTCATCCATGATTGCCTCTAGAAAGCCTATTTCGATGGTGGATAGTTAGGATGGAAGTCACAACCATGTTAACTAGCCAGTATGCCAGCCAGCACAAAAGATCAAAATACATCAATCTCCATCATTTTGGGTAAGATTCCTTATGATGGTATCCGGGTGCATTGACCTGAATAGCCACCTTTCAGAGCATGTCAGAGGACTTTGGCTTTGAAATTCACCTGTTGGGTGGCTCCGTGGGTGCCACCCAAATGCTTCAATCCCTTATCCAGGTTGTGAGACTGGTTTGGTAGTGCTGTACCCGGTATCTAGGTATATCTTCGGACACCGTGGAAGATGATTGACCTCCGGGTATCCACTCGATGTGCAATGCATCCTTGGGAACTCATGGAAGTTGTTAACTAACTTCCAATATAAGTATGTGCCAATCTACTTTCCTCCCGCTCTAGTTTTATTGCAATTTCTTGTGGAGAAGCATCTCGAGTCGTATATTTATCTTCGTCTTGAATTTGACTTTTGGCCGCGGAAAACAAATCCTCAAAGCCAACAACACTTGGAAGTGAAAAAGGGAAAACTAGAGAAAAAGGGTTAAAAAAACAAAGAGAAAGAGAAAGCGGAGGAAGATAAAACTTGAAAAATGAAGACTACTCGCTCGCTCGCTCGTTTTAGTCTTCTCTATTTTCTCTGTGCCGCAATTGGGACATTAGCAGCACCTGTCGACCCAGAACAGTTTCCACGTCTTCAATCATCAATCGCACGACGGTCTGTGGAGTCATTACTATTTCGGATTTATGCAGAGACTCCCTACGGATTCCCGCTTTATGCGAGAGTTGACAAGCCTGTGCCTGGTGAACTGCGTGTGGCTATGGATCCAGACCCGTACCGAGCTACACCGGCCGAGATTACTAATGGCACAGTTGGTTTTAAACCCGGCGGCAATGAGACTTTATTCTTGTCATGGGAGTCCAACCCGTATACACCATGTGCGGATTTGGTGACTGAGTTTTGTTTTGTTTTGAAGCGTGAATCATGGAACAAAAATGCTAACAATCTTTTGAATATAATAGCCGTTCTGTTCTCAACACTTTCCGGCACGGGTGGTATAACAGGTGTGAACCGTGATAATAGTACGGGGTTGTTGACTTGGTCAGAAGCTACACAAAATCCCGTCGGCTGGATGAGTAAGTGAGAAACTCTGCTATTCCCAGATAATATAACCGCTCCTTTAGCTGACATGTTTTAAATTATGAAGTTTGTCTTATGGTCGATGAAATATTCCGTTTATGGTATTCTGACGATATGTATATTGGTCCTCCTCTCGACTGCTTCTTTGTCTCTCTCTACGCAGAAATTATCGGAGAGAAGAGGCGCCGATTCAGGTCCTGAGAATCTGAAGACGATAAGTCAAGTGATCCAAAAGGAAGAAGAGATGAAGATGCTTAAAAACAGAAATGAAGCGGAGGCGTGAGGGAAGTGAGATGATTATTTAGCCTTGCTCGCACTTGAATCTTTTCTTTTTAGGTAGAAAGTTCAGAAAATAGTAGCAAGTTTTTTCTGCAGCAGTCTATAGGGAGTCGTGACAAATGTGACAAATGGGTATTTTATACTAGCGTTACAATGAGCACACATTAATGATACTGATTGTATTAGCAATCAAGATCTTCTCATTGAAGATTATATAAATAACGACTTATGTAGCGGGCTACGCCCGATTGATAGACCATTCCATTACATTACACTCCATAGATTCCTGCCGAAAGCTCCGATTCTCGGTCGCTGATCCCTCCTCTGGCATTCTCGGTCGCCGATCCTCAGCTGAGGAACCCACGGAGTTTCTATTCTCCCGCCCCGAAGCTCCACCTCATACACATATTATTATTATTATTATTATTATTATTATTCTTCAATTATAGATTCATACCTCTTTCAAACTATTTTCTCTTGTATGAGATTTTATTTCAATGAGTTTGAAAGCTTTCACTATTGTAAATAGTTCAGTATTAAAGACTTCAGATTCACAGTCTAAATTTCAGAAATCTGAGATAAAATTAATATTATCTTCAGTATAAGCAATGTCTGTGCCTAATCTATTCAAATTCTCATTTTTGAAGTCATCTAAATAAATCAGAATAGAGTCTTCTATATTGATTGTAGAAATTCTCTTCAAATGATGTTCATATTCTTTCTTCTTAGATAGTTCACTTATTTATAAGTCTATAAGAGATTCAAGCTTTTCTCTTCAGAGAGATATCTTCTCATGAGTTATAATCAAATTTTTCAACATTTAAAGAAGAAAATTGATTTTTAATCAGTGAGCATAGTCTGTATAGTTGAGAAGGCATTTTCTTTGAAGAATTATTTTCATTTCAATCAAGAAATCTATTTCAATTCAGTTTATTTCCAGAGTTAATTGATGAAAATGAAGAAGAGACTCTTTCTCTGATTATATAATTTAAGCTTATCTTTATAACTCTCAGAGCATAGTTCATACAGGTCTTTTCAAATCTAATAGCAGAAGAGAGAATTAAAGCTTCAATTTTCATTACTTTAATAGAAGATGATTTGATTACTCTCAGAATTCTTGAAGATTATAGTTCTATGTGATATAAAGTATTATCAAAGATTGTTACTTACTAGAGAATTGTATTTCACTGTCTTCACATCTCAAACATCTGCTTATTCAAATATCTGATAGTTAATATTGTAGTAGTCTCAGACTAATTTAACATACAAGTCTTATTTCTTCTCTGTTCAATCTTGAGAAGTGTAGATATTAACTCAATAGAAGAGATCTAGTAGAGCTGCTATAGCATAGTACTCTGTAAAAGATTATTCAGTTTTACTTTAGTAATATATCAGTTTATCTTTTACAGCAATAATATTCTGTGCTATAGTATTATCTCAGACTGAATTTCTTTTTAAGTGATTTAACTGCTTCTCAAGATAAGTAAATAAACTGTTATACACTTATCAGACTGACTGCAGCATTGATGTATAAGTGATTGAAACTGTCTTTATTATCTTATAAAACTAAAACAGTAAACTAATCATATATTTTAACTGAGTTTACTTCATATCAGAAAGTTTCAATATCTGAATCTTTTTTCAATCAGAGTATTACACTCAATAATTAATTATCTAATACAATTGAAGAGTCTAAACAATTATCTTATATATTAAACTTCACTATATTCTAATATTCTGTATTATATTCAGTGATGTGACTGATTTATTTATTTATTAAATATCATAAAATCATTATTATTGTTTAGAGAGAATATAAATCATATTAGTAATGTTTCAAATCTGTGATATTTAAATTATTAGTCAATCTATTTAAAATTAACAGTAGTATTATTAAAAAGTATTATTAAAAAACATTATCTTTTACAAAGTAAATGTAAAAGTTATTTAAGTAATTACTTTTATCTTATTCTTATTTCAAGAATCAGTTATCTCATTAGTTATTATCTCAATGTTAAGATTCTTTATCAGTATTTATATTATAAGTTGAACTATATAAGCAATGCAGAGAATATAATCTTATTTATTATTTCAGAAATACAAAGTCAATTTTTACTTTAAGCTCTTTATTATAGTGTAGTTATTCACAGTATTATCAGTTATAATTGTAAGAAGACTGAAACTAATATCTCAATAGTTATTTTTAATCACTGTTATTAATATCTCTATTGTATAATTCTTAGTATAACTACTGATTAATTATTTAAATTCAATTAATATCTCTTAATAAGTTCTCAGTTCTCATGAATATAATAACATGTAACTTTCATAAATTCAAGATTATTTATACTAGTTTATACATTCACTGTGAGAGATACTCTTTAATAATTCTTCAACTCTGATTCTAGATGTGATATATAAGCTTTATAGTGTATCTCAAGATTGAACTGAAGATATGATTGATATGAAATATGAAGATTTAAATTAAGCATTTGAAAAAGTGTTCAGAATTCAGAGTTTTCAATTGATTGAAGAGAAAGATTCAGAGATATATATATACAAAGTAATTATTCATAGAAGTTATCAGATAAGAGTTATAAAATCAGAGTACTAATATATAATCATTTTCACATGATTTTCTTACAATTAGAAAGTTAGTATTATCAAAAATTATTATCTGATAGAGTAACTTATCAGCTCAGTAGTAATTTTCTGATTATTTTTCTTTTATTATCTGTATTTTGATAACTTTAAATGTTAGAAAATTTAATCAGAGTTATAATCAGTTTATAATAAATGAA